ACTGCCCCCAGAGGACTGGACATCTCGGGGTAGTGTTGCGATCGGCATGGACCCTATTGATTGCCCCCAGAGGATTGGTCACCTCGGGATAGTGTTGCGATCGGCATGGACCCCGATGATAAGTTAAACACAATTTAGTTTACAACAAATTTAAGCCAAGTGCATGAATCAGCATTTGAATGGGAAGTGCGGATTTTATTTAATAAATATAAGTGGGATGATGAACAAGTAGATTAATTTAAACATAATATTTCTTCAGGTGAATTGCATTCCAAGGGCGTGGCATATACTGACCAATCTCAACCCGTTTTAGCTTGTAGGCGCCCTTTCCGTATGCTTCGGTGACTTCGAACGGTCCTTCCCATGAGCGACCAAACTTGCCTGCGTTTAGATCTTTGGTGTTTTCCATTACTTTCCTGAGGACCCACTCACCAACTTTGAACCTTCTCGGGTGGATCCGCTTGTTAAAGTAATTAGCGACCTGGTTCTGATAGTTTGCTAGTCGTAATGCTGCGACCTCTCGATGTTCCTCAATCAAGTGTAGATTGCGAGCAATCTGTTGGTCGTTATCCCCACCATCCACCACCATTGTTCGGATTGTGGGCAGTCCGATCTCAGTTGGGATAACAGCTTCGCTTCCGTAGGCTAAGGAAAAAGGACTTTCCCCTGTTGGCTTTCGCTTTGTGGTTCGGTACGCCCATAACACATTTGGGAGTTCCTCAAACCATTTACCCTTGCGCTGCTCAAGCTTTTTCTTAAGACAATCGAATATGGTTCTGTTTGTTTTTTCCGCTTGTCTGTTTCCTTGGGGATAGCTACGGGACGAGAATTGTTGAATGATCCCTTTCTCCATGCAATATTTCTTGAACTTCCGATTGTTGAATTGAGTCCTATTATCTGAAATGATGGCTCTGGGTATGCCAAACCTGCAAATGATGTTGCGCCAGACGAACTTTATCACATCAGTCTGGGATACTGTCCCATATGCTTCAGCCTCCACCCACTTGGTAAAGTAGTCTGTGGCCAAGAGAACGTATTTTTTGCCCCCAGGCGCAGTTGGCAACGGTCCTACGATATCCATTCCCCATCGGGCGAATGGCCACGGTCCCACGATCGAACTAAGCTCTTCTGCAGGTCGCCTAATCATAGGCGCATGTTTCTGGCACTTATCACATTTCCTTACGAATTGTTCAGCCTCTCGAGCCATGTAAGGCCAAAAGTAGCCTTGCGTTATCGCCTTGTGTGCCAAGCTCCTCCCTCCAGAATGATTGCCACAAGTTCCCTCGTGTAGCTCTTTCAGGGTCCACTCTGCTTCGGATGGGCTTAGGCAACGTAGATAAGGACCTGAAAAAGACTTCCTGAAGAGGACGTTTTCTATGAGTGCGTACCTGGCAGCTTTCATCCGAAGTTTTCTGGCTTCAACTGGATCTGCGGGTTACGTTCCTGCTGTTAGGTAATTTTCTATTGGCATCATCCACGTCACCTCTGAGTCAACTTGCATAACCCAAGGTTCAGCAACATCTAGGCTGGGGCTTTCCAAACACTCCACAGATACGACCCTAGTGGAGTCCTCTCCTGAAGCCGAGGCCGATGCCGCACATGCCAACCGATCCGCCCGTTCATTTAGCTATCTCGGAATCTGCTTTAGTTCGAACTTCTTGAATTGTTGAGACAGACACTTTGACAGCTGTTGATACGCCTGCATCCTTTCATCTCTGGTCGCATACTCCTCATTTGCTTGATTGACTATGAGTTGGGAATCACTGTACACCTTCAAATTATCTATTTTCAATAGTCCGGCAATTTTCAATCCCAATAGCAAGGCTTCGTATTCGGCAACATTGTTTGAGGCAGGGAAATCTAGTCTAACAGAGTATTCTAGCTCTATTCCTTCTGGGAAGAAAGGACAATCCCGACCCCAGCCCCCGCTCGGTTGGATGAGCAGACGCATATAACTCCCACTGTGTTGCCTCGTTACACCCTGCTTCCGTCTTATCACTCTGTTTCTCATGCGTTCCTTCTATGGGATAACATTCGACGAGAAAATCAGTAATTACCTGTCCTTTTTTAGATGTCCTTGGTTGGTATTTGATGTCAAATGCTCCTAACTCGATTGCCCATTTTGTGACTCTTCCCGACAGATCTGGTTTGGACATGATTGCTTTAATAGGCTGGTTTGTGAGCACTGTAATGGTATGAGCTTCTAAATATTGTCGAAGATTCCTCTTGGCTACTACCAATGCCAAGACAAGTTTCTCTGCAGGAGTGTATCTCTTTTCAGCGTCAATCAGGCTCTTGCTGACATAGAAAACAGGTTGTTGGAGGTAGTTCTCTTCTCGGAACAATGCTGTGCTTATTGCCACTTCGGTTACGGCAAGGTACATATACAACATCTCTCCAGACTTTGGTATAGTTAGGATCGGGGGACTTGTCAAGTATCGTTTCAGTTGATCAAAAGCTTCCACCTGCTCTGGCCCCCAAACCTCGTTTTTCCTATTCCGGATTGCTCGAAAGAAGGGTTTGCATCGGTCAGACAAACGTGAGATGAACCGGCTCAATGCAGCTACCCGCCCTGTCAGCACTTGTACTTCTCTTGGAGTCTTCGGGCTTGGCATGCCTCGTAATGCCTCCACCTTCTCCGGGTTTGGCTCAATGCCCTGCCTATTCACAATGTGTCCCAAAAATTGGCCTGATGAGACAACGAAAGCACATTTGGTCGGGTTCAGCCTCATCCGATATCGCCTCAGCACCTCAAAGGTTTCTTGAAGATGACCTATGTGTTGGGTTTTCACCGCACTTTTGACAACCATGTCATCTATATAAACTTCCATTGTCTTTCCAATTTGATCCTTGAACATCTGATTCACCAACCGTTGATACGTTGAGCCTGCATTCTTCAAACCGAATGGCATCACCGTATAACAATACAAGCCACGCTCGGTAATGAAAGTTGTTTTTTCTTGATCTTCGACTGCCATTGGGATTTGGTTGTACCCTGAGTAAGCATCAAGAAAAGTTAGAAGTTCATACCCGGCCGTGGCATCCACCATCTGATCAATTTTAGGCAGAGGGTAACAGTCTTTCGGGCAGGCTTTGTTTAGATTGATGTAATCGACACAAACTCGCCATTTTCCCTTCTTCTTTGGCACGACCACCACATTAGAAATCCATGTCGGGCACCACACGTCGCAGATGAACCCAACTTCCAGAAGTCTGTCCACTTCATCGCTAATGATCTGATTTCTTTTTGGCGCGAACCTCCTTTGCCTCTGCTGGTGTGGTGGGTGGTTAGGGTCCACATTCAGGCGGTGACACGCGACACTAGGATCGATTCCAGGCATATCCACATGTGACCATGCGAACACATCCTTATTATTCCTTAGGAACTCGATGAGATGCTCCCTTTCGGCGTTGGATAGGAGGGAGCCCACCAATACTTTTCTATTGAACGGCTCGTGCACTTGCGAGTATCACAAGTTGAGGATGCAGTTGAACCCATTTTGGTGCAGCTGTATCTACACAACAGTGGGTCCTCCATTAATTGCTATAATTGCTGGTTCGGTTGCGGCTGCGCCCCAGCTGCATTCTTGAGGTCAGTCGTTATGTTGTAACACTTTTTGGCTTCGAGTTGATCCCCTTTGATATCGATAGTACCAGCACCATCGTCAGTTAAACATCTCATCACTTGGCACCTAGTTGATGCCTCTCCATCCATTCTATGGATCCAATCTCTTCCCATGATCACATTATAGGCGCTCGGAGCGTCTACCACCACGAAAGTCACTAAAAGGGTTTTCCCAGCGGCTATGATGGGTAATGTCACGTCTCCTATTACTCGTGCCTTGCTGCCGTCAAATGCGAAGAGCGGTGTAGGATTGGGCCTGATCCCCTTTATGTCCAATTTCATTCTCTTGAAGGTGTTCAGAAACATTACCTCTGCGCTGCTTCCACCGTCGATCATAACCCTCTTGACTTTTGAGTTCCCAATTTGAAGAGTTATGACCAGTGCGTCGTTGTGAGGAAATTGAATTCCTTCGAGATCTCGTTGGGTGAATGAGATGATCCCGACCTTCTCCAATGATTGGGCCGATTGTGGTGCTGAAGCGATTCCACAAACACGTCTTATCTTTTCAGCTTGTCTTTTCTCGGTTCGGGCTCGAGCTAGCTGACCCTCTGGCGGTTGAGGTCGGCCATGGATAGCATTGATTTCCAACAATCCCCCCTCAGTGGCGACGTTGTTGGTCACTGGTTCAACCGCACGCTCCTCCTTCAACTTATCTTTTGGTTGGGCCCAATATTGCCAAAGCATCCCCTTTTTTAGCATTGCTTCAACTTGATATCTAAGATTCCGGCAGTCGTTGGTGGTGTGGCCAAAGTCGTTGTGGTGTGCACAAGTCTTGCTTCGGTCTCGTTTCTCTGGTGGTTCACGTAATGTCGGAGGCGTTCGAAAAATCCCTTTTCCCTTGTTTTCGTGGAAAAGTTTAGCCAGACTAACAGTCAGTTTGGTTGGGGGAGAATTGGTCCTTGCTTGATTGCGGAGACTTCCATTTGGAAAATTTGTCCTTGGCCCTTGGATCATCTCATACGGGTGCTTTGGTGTTGAAATGGCTGCGGTGGTGCGCATTGACAGAGCGAGTTCTTCCTCTTCAAGTCTGATGATTCCATCAGCTCGAGCCAAAACCTCCCTCATGTCGAGGGGTGGTGTCTTGACCAAGGACTTATGCATTTTTGTTCCTGGCGTCACCCCCTCGCGGAATGCCAGTGATGCAGTGTGAGAGTCGTAAGTCTCTAAAGTAGACATTTCCTCCATGAATCGCTTCAGATAATCTTTGAGACTTTCACCTGCCTTTTGCTTTGTGCTGAACAGCGTTGTGATGTCTTTCTTTCTCCTTTGATTGCACACGTATTGGGATATGAAAGCTTCGCAAAGCTCAGTGAAGCTGCCGATGGATCTTGGCTTCAACTGCCTAAACCACGTCAAGGCCGACCCTGACAGGCTAGATGGGAATAGTTTGCATAGCAGCGCTTCGTCTTCGCTTTCGAGGACCATTTGCTGCTGGAAGTGATAGATATGCTCAATGGGA